CACCACATTACGGTATTGCAAAACTAAAAGGTTTACATCAATACTATGAAATAAAAAAGAGGATCAGAGGATCCATGTAAACCAACAGCTTTCCCAATTTTCCCATTTACGCCCTTTGTCCAAACGCCCACGTTCTGAAGAGCTTGAGTTTGATGACATTTTGCCAAAAGGAAGCGGTAATATTTGGGCCGTTTTGATTGACCAAGTTGTTGTCAAGCAGCAAACCTCTTCAGGACCCGAATACAATGCCACAAGGACTCATTTGTGCTGTTTGTCTGCACATGTACCGGGGCAGGTTGACGGGGCCTTCGTCGCTCTGCAGGTTTTTTGTTGCCGAGGCCTCCGGGGGAGAGAAGCGCCCTGCGTCTCACAACGTTCTCCGACTGTAATTACAGGGCGTATCTGAACACGGATGCCCACCCACTCGCACCATAAACACGAGCTACGTGCTGCCCCCCCCCCATTGACTCACTTCTTGTTTGTATTTACCCCTCTTGCCCCTCGTCTGCCGAACCTCAAGTCTACCAGCAACGGCATGCGTCACAGCTACTGTAAAACAAACACCTTTCATCCCGGGGAGATGTGACTCAGGTCCCCCGGTGAGCACCGGAACACATTGGTGACTTTGATACCAAACAAAAATGGTTGTTGCAGCAATGGCTGTGGGTGTAATGTGAAGTAGGGATTGTTCCCCCCATAATCCGTTTAGTTAAAAAGGGGTAAAGCAAATTTTTGGCAGAATCCAGGAATTTCCCGAAAGACGGGAAACATTAAAAGTTTTGCAGATCTTTCTGAAAAGAGGTTAAAGTGCTTCCGTACGCCTAGTCGGCCTTTTCAAATCACATCACTCCCTGTTGGGAGCACGAGCCAAAGTCTACATCCTCAACATGTTTCTTACTGCAAACTTTCTCACATTTTCTTCCTTCTGTTTCCCCCTCTGCTTTGTTTTTCTCCCCCATTCGCTTCCTCGTGGTGGAGCTGCTGCAATTGGTCGGAGGAGGTGGAAGGTTGGCCAATGGGAGCGCAGTTGCCAGGCAGCCTGCTCCTTGTTTGGAGGCCCGCACAGCTGTTCCTTTGAAAAGAGGCAGGACATAATGATAAGTGCCCCTCATCGACACACACACGCGCACACACACACACACACACACACACACACACACACACACACACACAATGTGGGCTGATTTGGAATTCGTGGTAAAAAAGAAAAATAGATAAACACATTGGTTCATACAGGTTGTTGTTGCCCTCACATGTTGTGTATACACACAGTTTGGCCGTATTAGGTTGCAGAACATCAGCTGAATGTTTCGTTTGTCACAATGTACGTAAAGAAATAACTCCCACCTTCTCGTGCTGCAGCGTGACATATTGAACCACGTTGCCCGGCAAACATTGTTCGTCCATCTGCCCCGGTGTCCCGCAGAAACAATACAACCCCTATATATATATATACATCCTGCACATATTTCCACCCCCATTTTTCACACTTGTTGCCTCCGCAGACCACAAGGGCTGCGTGTGGCGTTGCCTCCATGCTGGCGTGAAGAATAGAGGCCCAAGTGAGTGGAAGCAGACCAGTTGATCGGCGGGGACACGCCGCGCCGACACATGAATGCCTGTGACATATGGCGAGCCTCCTTCCGGCTGATGGCATCAATGATCGGCTAAAGCGAGCATGCACGTTGAGCGATATCATCACTCCGCTCTGAATGGAGATTTCTTTTCTTTTTTTCGTAAAGAAATGAGTCACTCTAAAGGAACAATGGATTTTAAAAAGACAAAAGGAGCCCCTCTGCTCCAGCGCCTCGGTTCGGTTCCTGCTTCAGAGCAGTATGTGGTGGCAGAAGGTAAAGAATGAAGATGTTTGCAAAGGCCATAAATACGCAGAGGAGAGCGATGAGTCTTATCAGACCAAAAGAACTCATATTTTAGTGTTTTTAATGAAATAATATTCTGCACCTCTCAGCGTATTTCCGTGTCCCTGAGCGCGGATCTGCTGACTGAAGGTTACCTGCAGGATGGAGAAGCTTCATCAACACCAAAGAAACAACTTGCAACGGCAGTGTGAGCCTTTGATTTGATTTGAAGGGACCGTTAGTACTTCAAAGCAGGGTGGAAAAGGACCCCGAAAAAGACCCCGAAAACTGGTCTCAAATTACCATTTCTCCTTCCCGTCAAGGCGCCGTTGATTTTCTCTTAAGCTTCGTGCCATGTTGGATTTACTGACACAAAAAAAACGCCAAAAAAAACACAGGTTTAAATTGGTGGAGCTATTCCAGGCGGTGTTAAGCCAACAGTGTTGTGTTGGTGGGGGGGGGGCTCCTCTCAAAGTGACTCCCACCTTCTCTGGAGAAAATATTTGGATGGTCTTAGAAACAAAAGTAGCTCTCACATTCTCGTACAAACTCAAAAGACTTGACTTGCATTCCTCTTTTATTTTCGCCTTTTCTCATCTGCGCAGGAGTCTAAAGAGCATTTGGGGATGTCCTTGAACACCAGAGTCCTCGTTCTGCTGCCAAAGACCTGTGAGCGAGTGTTTACTCTACCCGTTCATGCCGAATAGCAGAACCATTTATATGTAAAGCGGCAACTATTAAAGGACACACGGGGACTGAGAAGCCGCACCGCCTATAGGGAATAAAGTCCATTTGCGTTGTGTGCTGTTTGTCCAAGGAGTCACACGCACTGCACACAATGTGTCTCTGACGCTCTTAGCCAACAAATGTATCACAGTCTGTGACCTTTGCCCTTGGACCTTGTTAACCCCGCCCCACCGCCAGCCGCCAGCAGTCGGGCACCGAGCAGATGGAATAGTTTGGGGGAGGGTTTGTCTTTTTTACACAGTCGTGTTGTCACTCAAGCCTTCGCCGTCTACTGCCTGGATTCACCGCTACCTCCTTCTACTCTATTTACTCCTGGATTTGTTACATTCTATTCATGTTTACTGTAAATCCGATCGAGTGCCCCCCCCAAAAATTCCAGGACATGCAGTGTTAAGGTCTTCATTAATTATCTGTCCAATGACGATCATTTACGTTCAATGCACACCAGAGTCTCTACTCTGGACACCAAAAAAAACAAAATCTCACGCCAGTTTCCCAATGACTCATTCGAAGCTGGCAAAATAATTTTAAGTGATTCTGGGGCATTGCCAATAAATATATATATATAAATATAAAAGAAAAGAAAAGGAAAAAAAGCAAACTGGTGTATGGGCAACTGGTGAGGCTGCTGGGCAGCTGTCCAGGCGTTTGGATGCACCGGGGAACGTCATTCAACTGTGAAGGAGATTCAGCTGGAAGGCCGATGTCCAGACAGACAGCTTTTACTCCACGAGGTGTGACTGTGAAAAGGGTTTTTGCAGAGCTTTGCAGAGACAGACACAGTGTCTGTTTACCTGAATTGTTCACAGGATAACGGACTCTTATCATTTTGCTCTGACAGGATATGCATCATCTTCTGTGGCCAATTTATATCTTTAAAATGAACACAATCGACCTTTAGACACTGACAAACTCTGGGGTATTTATTTTTACCGTAAAACAGCAGAAAACAACCCCCGCCTCTCTGACTCTCCCATTATGGCTGCTTTTCACACCCCCTCTCCTACACATTACGTCACCTTTGACAGGAAATGAGATGCCACAGCTCAAGGTGTTAAGAGATGTCTTCTCAATTTCAATCAGTGTCCTTTTTCCTGCCGTTGTCAAGGACGTGTGATTTTACCCCAGAAGATTTGGGCACACGGGCAAAACAATAGAACGCATCTGCTGCGTTCTCCCATGGACGTTATGCGATGTAAGGCTCTCTCTGGGCATCTCCTGCAGTTATGCGTGGGGAAATGCTGCCTCTATGTGGTCTTTGAAAGCATGTTCAGAGGGTATGCTCCGTACAGCATTAGCACACGTATGTATGTATGTATGCGTGTGGATTAAAGCGAGTGAAATGGATAAACGTGATCCAGAAGACGTATTTCCTCAGCAAAGTTTTCCAGGTAAACCTGCATCTTGTTTCAATGTCCTGTTCTCATACACAGTATGTATGAGAGGAAAATAAGATATCTTTTATTTTTCACTGTCACTAAAGCAAAGTACTGGAGATAAAAGTCTGTTAACTCTGTTTTGTTTTGCCTTTAGTGTGTTTGTGGTATAGTTACGCGTTCCTCTTCAAAGGGAGGGAATTGGACCTTGGGAAAGTACCGCAGCGCAGCTCGGGCCTCGTGTACGAGATCACCTGATGCACCATGTGACAGAAAACCACAGATCACAGACGAGACCTTGATTTTCTCAGACCCACGGGGGACGTTAAAAGAGCTTCAGATTTCGGGAACCAGATGTCTGCGTTTCGTTTTCTGCCCACACAAAAATAGACGGTGCAGCCGAGAAGGAAATAAAACATCTGCGTCTCACAAAGCAATTTCTGCTAGTTTTTAAAAGTAGATGCAGCTCGTGGGAATCAATGAATTTGTAAGACTGCATGGATTAGAAAACATAATTAGTCTACATAAACTGATTGAAGTGCGGAATGATTAGCCTACTATACCAGAACTACAGCTCAAAATCAATTCAATCCATTCAGTTCATTAACTCAGATATTATGTGGTAAGTTATGTAATCATTTTCCATGCAACAACTTCTTCTGGTTTAGACACTCAAAAGTGAGTGAATATCTTCAGCTTTCAGAAAATTGGTCAGACCACGTCAACATTTCAAAAAGGTCACTTGTAGCGTGATTTGTACAGAAATGAATTATCTGCATATCAAATTGATAGTGAAGGATATGGAGGACAAAAAAATTACTAATTAAAAACTAATTATTAAGTATAATGAATAAATAATTGAATGTATAGATGAATAAATACATGTAGAAATACAGAAGTGTAGAAATAATATAAATATATATATAAATAATAATGTTCTGTTTAGGTATCAACGTATATTTATTTATTTATTTAAGTATTTATTTTTCTTCATTTATCTTTTCATTTTTTGATTACTCGCACTGTAGTTAAAAAGTTATTTTTATCATGTAAATTAAGTTAAAAAAACATAACAAAGTGAAATAGAACCACTACAAGAATCACTTTTTTCTAATCAAATTCACTCGTTAGCAGCCGCAGTTCCCAGACTTCCCGACGTACGGCAAATCATTAGCATAAGGGTCAAAGTTCAAGCAGTGTCCAGGAGCTACTTGTCACCCTCATATAACCACTGGGATGTTAATGTCTCCCCACCGTGGGGCAAACAGTAGCCACTGTAAAAACCCACCGTCACCTCTGACCCCTCTTCCCCTCGAGTCGCCGGTCTTTCCCGCTATTGATCCTTCAGATTCCTCTGACGTTGCGGGTAAGTGTGACAATCCTCTTCCAGATAAAGGCATTTGGGGAGTCAATGCCTGCGACCCGGCCAGCGTGTGTGTCAAAACTCTCTGTAGCGAGAGGGCCGCTCTATCGTTAAAGTCATTCGTGCGCGGTTCAAAGGTTAAAACCATTTCTTCCGAACAGAGAGGCAGGAGGGTCAACGGGATGAAGGCAGGAACTCAGCAGTGACACATAAAAGAGGCTGCAGGTAAGCGACACTCCAGCTGAGCAATTCATTAAGACGTATTTTAGCTTGTATAATGTCAGGTAATATGTTTCTTCATACATTGTAGTTGATTGGTTGTCAACAGAGAACGTTTCATAAAATGAAACGTATGTCTCATTTTTTTTACTGTAGGCTGAAAAGGATGGCTTTGAAGAAAGTGTTGTCCTTTACAAGCTGATCCTTATGCCATATTCTTATGCCTTCCGACAGATACAATGGAAGTGCTCACAGTGCTGCTCATGCTCTTCGCAGTTTCTGGGTACTCACAAGTGTTGCAACCTGGTAAGTATAACGTAAAAAATGAGTGACATTTCAAGGCCCCACCTCAATGGACCTATAAATTAAGTCATAATCAGAGTCCGCAAACTAGAGGTCCTAAACACTCACATGTTAATTATTTCATGAATGTTGTTGAATGTTGCTCACATGCTACTTGTTAGAAGCTTCATTTGTTTTCGTGCATTCAGAAAAACATTCTTTAATTCCTGCAGTATTTCCACTCTATTTCCTACAAGCTGAACTATCCAGTGTGTTTCCTCTCGGTGTCGTACTGCAGGACTGCAAGCCAGCCAGATAGCTGGGATGGAGAGACACCGTTGGTTTCAGCTGACGAATGTTTCAATACCAGTGGAAGCCAAAGGAAGTGAGGCAAGGAAATCAGAGCAGGAATCAAGGAGTGAGGGATTGACCCCCGAGACAAACCCAGGGAAGAAGAGGACGGCTTTGGACGCATTTTTTAAGATGTTGAGAGAAGAAGCGAAAAGAGACGACATTCATGCAGCCGATATTGTGGCGGATTTAGATTCAGATGAAGAAGTGGAGAGGAGAGAAGAGGGGGACCGTCTGGTTACGAAATCAGAGAAAACTGAGTTAAACGAGGACACGGTAAAAACAATCCCTACAGGAACGATGAAAACACTCAACGATCTAAATGCTTCGGTTGAAGATACACTGAAGCATAAAAAAGTGGAAGAGGAAAGAGAGAGCAGGTTGGTTGCAGGAATTATTCTTCACCAATCAACCCGAGGCGTTAAGATGTTGACTGTAGATCAAGAAAAGGTAGAAGAGAAAAGAGTATTTAAAGAGAATGAAGATCACACAGCAGTTAGCGATCTCACACCTCTTTTGAGCACATCCTCTGCTCAGTTTGGGGAAGAATTTGTGATTCAAAGTATCACTCAGACTCCAAATCCTCCTGGTTCTCCTCCTCCAGTTCATCGTCATAATGTCCCTCAATCACAATTCTCTTCGTTCCCTCCCTCCCAACACGCCAGAGTTAGTCCTCCCTTTTTCCCTCCATCTGTCACGTCGCCCAATCCCAGAACCATCGATCACATCTCAGTCACAGCGGGGCTTCCTGGTGAGATGCATCAACTGGAAGCCAAAGCCGGCCCACGTTTGGAGAATGACTTGGTCCAGATGGTATTGTTTGAGCCGGCAAGGAGGGAGCAACAAACCACCGTCGTTCAACCAGAGTATATGACCGAATATATCCCCACGGAGCAAGTGGCAACGCCGAAACCCAACGAAGCAACGCTTAGAACCAAAGAGGAAAATCCTATGCAGAAATTAAATAAGAGTAATCCCGCTGTGGAGCTAGAACCAGACGCAACTCAGCCCAAAACGGTTGAGCTGATAGAAAACAACACTAAAACAGTGAGGCGGGACAGAGGATCTCATCTTCAACCACGACTGACCAAACCTTCAGCAACACCGCAGCAGACGATGGCAAAAACACCTCCAACGAGGCCAACAAAACTCAACAAAAGTAGTCAACATAAGCCCAGTAAGAAGACCAAGAAAAGGAAAAAGGACAACAAAACACAAAAGCCCTCGGAGAAGAAAAAGGTCATCAAGCCAACGCACTTTCCTTACTTTAAGGATAACTACTGTCCTCCTGACTGCGCCTGCTTTGGACGGTAATTATTAGACTAAATTGATTTAAACATCTGTTCCAACAAAGGTCTAACGTCTAAGGTTGTGTTGTTCTGAAACAAATAGTTGAGTCATGTATTGTCAGGTTAGAGATTCAGTGATTTGTTGTTTTCCAATGTGAGAATGTGTAATTTGGAGGTTTGAAGAGCTGTACGTGTGCTCTTACCTGATATGTGTTATTTTTCAGAGTGGTCCAGTGCTCAGACAAAGCCGTGGACAAGATTCCTTACGGCATTCCCTATAATGCCCGTTACATCCTCCTCATGAACAACCTCATCGACAGCATCCAGCTGGACCTGCTCAAAGAATACGTCTCCATGGAGTTCCTGGTGCTGAGCAACAACCGGCTCACGGTGGGTACCGTTGAGGGGGCCTTCGAGGGGGTCCCGGCTCTGAAGCGCCTCTACCTGGATAGGAACCTCCTGGACGCCGTGCCGACGGATCTTCCAGCTTCTCTGGAGGAGCTTCGTCTGGACAACAACCGTCTGAGCGTGATGTCCGAAGCCGCCTGGGCCCGCTGCCCCGGCCTCTTGGTTTTGAGCCTGAGCAACAACAGCCTGGGCAACGGATCTGAATCTCTTCCCGCCGCAGTGCTCTCTCCTTTGTACAAGCTGCGCACGCTGAACCTGGACCACAACCAGTTGACATCCGTGCCTCTGGGTTTGCCCCTGTCCATCAAGGAGCTGTACCTCAAAGGGAACCTCATTGAGGACTTCAGGAGAGGAGCCTTCAATGGGATATCAGAGCTGGTGGTGTTAGATTTGAGTACCAACAGACTGACAAGCAAGGGCCTTCTCAGGGAGTCCCTCCTCAATGCAACTCACTTGGAAAGCCTCAACTTAGAGGGGAACCGACTAAAAAAAGTGCCACGACATCTTCCCCGCTCACTGAAAACTCTAAATCTGGAAGGCAATCTCATATCTTCCGTCAAGAAAGCGGCTTTTGGCACCTTGAAAAACCTCGAGCACTTGGGCTTAGCAAGAAATAAAATCTTCAAAGTGGCTCCGGGGGCATTCCGGACGTTGCCTGTACTGCACCAGCTAGACCTGTGCCACAACAGCTTGCGCCACGTGCCCAGACAGCTGCCGGAGGCTCTGCGCACGGTAGCACTCAACCACAACAGGATTAAATCAGTGCCTCGGGATGCTTTCTGCTGGGGCAATAAAAGTGTGAGTCTCAGCGGGCTTGTGCGAGTGCAGTTGGAACACAATTTAATCGACGTGGGCAAGTTGGATGCACAGGCTTTCAGGTGCTTACGGGGATTCCAGGTGGTGCACTTCTACTGAACCGGCAAAAGATAGAAACAAACGATACTGCTGCTAGTTTGCCTGATATCAGGCAGAATTGTCTGATATCTGGTAAAGGTTGTCATGTTAAATTCATAACTTTTATTTTGCAGCCAAAATGCCAACGAGAGACCAAGAGTGAACGATTCGTAGATGTCGGGGTAATTTAAGCAGAGTCTCAACCAGACGTCTAAACAGATTTAACAAGATTTAAAGTGATACTCAGGGCTTTCGATTGATTTAGAACCGTCTTGATGAGGTCCGTAGTCATCATTATTATAAATATTACTCTGATGACAGAGACTTGACATTAACGTTGCTCCCACACGCTCTGCCACTATATTTTAATTTAATGATATAAATGTAATGAATATGCTCATAATAAGACATGGATGATGTAACAAGTCTGGTATTTTTACAGATGAGTTTCAGATATCTTTATTGTTTCAGTCTCCGTGGTTACAGTAGCGGATTCCGCTCCCACTTTGGCAAAACAATTGATATGTGAATGTCTGAGGCAATTTTCACACAGCGAAATCTGTACCGCGTTGTAAGTTAGAAAATACACATAAGCAATATATCTATAGACACCTTCATAGCTTACATGCTGTTGATTTTATGTAAAATGAGACTTCCTTATAACTTATATGTACAAACAAGTTGAACTGTTGTTCCTAGAAGTTCCTAAAATGTGCCACTCATCTGAGTGGTACGGTTCCCTTTCTGAGCTATTCCTGTGAATATAAATAATAAAGATGTTTCTAAACAATTGGTGCCGCTGCAAATGTGTTCCTTGATTGGGAATTTTTGGTTTTGTCTTTGAATGCTTTATATTGCTTTATATTGATATTGCTTTTTGCTTTGTTTGCATTGGTTACGTGGAGCATGTGACAGGGGATTCCAAACAGGGAGCCTTGGACGTAGAAGCAGAGACTAGAGAGCCGTCCATCCCACATGTGACCCCATTGACGGGAGTCGCAAACTAAAGAATAGAAAACCTTTCAGTTAAAATGGTACAGGAGAAGAGCATCTGGATGCACGCATTAATTAAGAAATCATTTTACAATATGAAACAATAATCAAAGTGGAATTAAGAAAGTTATGAGCTAAATAAACTCTCAAAGGAAACAGGCGACAAAAGACACATTATATTATAAGAGACAAGAAAGTCAGTTTAGCATTCCTAATTTGGTTTTCTCATGCTCATGAATGGACACAGGGCAAATATTCCACTACAGAGAATTTTCCAGGTAAAAAAAAACAGTCAAGGTTGTTGTTTTCTCCCTTGTGATCGTACAGCGTTTATGGAAGTAGTAATTCCTCAGTTAGGTCTCTATAGGTTATTGTATGTCTAAATTACTTTGACAATAAATGCTCCTGGTTCCTGATTTCTGACATACCAAAATGAAAGACTTGGTTGTCAATGTGCTCTTTACAAAAGAAATCCACTAGATGGCAATACTGTATAAGAGGATTAAAAGTGAGATGCTGGCTCTTGGCTGGCTGACTTGGCTCTTTTCCACTTGTATCAGAAGATAAGGCCATAAAAAAGAAACACTGCGGGGAAATGCACTAAACAATATTATGATAAATATGTATTCAAACACTGAAAGACTGAAAACGCAGCCGGAGAAGAACGCGCGTGCACACACACACACACACACACGTTGGTCACGCGCATTCACGGAGAGGCGAAGATGTTTGTGGTTTTGTTTTGTTATAAAATAAGAACATTCGACCTCATCTAGAACTCTAGAAACACAAGTGGAGAAAATGCTTTCGTCCACATGGAGGTGCTTAGTACTGCCCCCTCCCCCCCTCCTGCTCTCCTCTAATAAGTTCACTCGGCAACGTGGCACTGCACGCATAGGACCTGGGAACGGGGAGTAGGAGGAGAGGAGGAGAGGAGGAGAGGGGGGTGGGGGGGGGGGCAAAGAAGGAGAAAGGGGGAGGAGGGAGCACCAGTAAAACATGCATCCAGGCTCCACTAGCTCAGCGCTCGTGCAGAAGGGGAGAGCTGCGGCCCGGCGGGGAGCTCACCAGCACCTCCCTGCGGTCCAGCAGGACCCCGTCCCGTGTCACTACACCACGTCTGCTACCTGGACCCACTGGAACACCTCCTCCCTCCCTCTCTCCTGCTTTCCTTATATCCTCCACATTTTCCGATCTGCACGCAGTCGTTTAAGAGTGCATGCGCGTGTCACTGCGTTCAGTGTCACACAATGCATGTGTGTGTGTGTGTGTGTGTGTGTGTGTGTGTGTGTGTGTGTGTGTGTGTGTGTGTGTGTGTGCGTGTCAATCGTCTGGTGCATTTGCATGCGTGATGATCATGGGAACGGCTCCCCTGTGTGAAGCCAAGTGCTTATTGGAAGTAGTTCCGTGTCGTCTGTTGGATGCAGTCTGGTAGTGAAGCTGAGCAGGAGGTTTGCAGGATTAGTGTCTATACCATTTGCAGATTTACCTGCCTTGCTCACATTCGTATGTTCTTTAGTGGAGAAAAAAGTTGTATAAGGCAACCCCACAATGCCAATAATTAACAAATGTTAATTAATAATTAACATTTGTTAATTATTGTGTTTGTTTGTTATAGAGTCTTGCTCTTTTTCCATTGCTTTTTAAACTCTCATTAAAGGTGAGTTTTTATTTATATATAAATACATATTCTAATTTTGCTGCAACGTGCACAAATCACTCTGCAAAACTGCAGAAAAAATAGCTGTAACTTGAAAACACAGAATTCACGTCCTTTTGAGATTCTTTTGTCATAACGCTGACCACATTCTTACTGGAATCTCAACGGGAAGAGAACAGAGGGAACAGGATATTAGACCGCACCCTGCATGCGAAAAAGCCAGACAGAGTGGGGATTATTCACAGTGTGCGATTATTCAGCTGAGCTGTTCCTCTTCCGATATTCATGAATCTTGGAGGCCTCCTTCCCATGATGCATCAAATGCTGGGCATATGATTCAAATATTTGCCTTTATTAACGGCTTCTATTCAAAAAATAAAAGTGAAAGTTTACAAGCTACAGTAGGAATTTGATAAATGGATATTTTGCAATTACAGTTGTGATTGACCGTATGTAATCTGCAGGTGTTTGTCACATACCGTAATTGAATAGAGTTTTAGGAAAGACCTCACGGATAGAAGCAATTGTGCTGTGCATGTACATCTGTGTCTCTCTCCTCTTTCACTGTGCTGCTCGGATAACACATCCCAATGACTACTTTCAGTTAAACCATAACCCTTAACCCAGCTATCTCTGCCAATTTAACCTTCAACCTTATCTTCACTCTAACCTCAAAGGACTAAGTGAGTTAGGACTGACCACAATGCCCTAAATCTCCTCTGAAACTCAAACTCAATTTCACAAGGAAGTCAGAGTCCTTGTGAACGGTTAAAATGTCGAGCCACCTCAGACCCGGAGCAGAGTGCTATTGCATGTGTGAGAGGGAGGTGGCGCTTTAGTTAGCCCGAGAGAAGGGAGAGGGAATGGAGAAACAGAGGGAGGGGAAAATGAGGAGGAGGAGGGGATAGAGAGAGAAACCATGGGAGCCAGAGGGACCTCAAGACGCACACACACACACACACACACACACACTGTATGCAGCCCATCATCTTCTTCTGGTCTCGGCCTGCACTGGGGACACATAAAGCGGTGAGCGTTTTGCACAAGCACACATGTAGAAATTGCGTGCTTGGGAGATTGTTCAGTTTTGCATTTATAAATTCACAGACAAGCATAAAACAATGTGCATTGGAGACTCTACGCTTCCTTTAAACACACGCATGCACACGTTGCACATGTCGCACACGCACTCCGTCATTCAGGGGCTCCACAAGGGGGCCAATGCTGTGTGAGTGTTCCTCTGTTGCAGAAAGGCAGCTGGTCTTGCTTTTAAGGCAGATTCAAGCAGAGCAAATTCTCATAAGATGCACGTGAATGAGCCATATGGAGTATAAAAGACAAAACTATTGAAAAGATATATGCATCTTCATGGAAAACTATAGATATGTCAAATTAGAGATATTTACATTTCAACTTCTTTGCTTTTCTAACTAAATTGTTAGAAGTTGTAGACATCAAACACATAAACAGCAAAAAAATCGACCATACCAACCATGACTTCATTCCACACGCTCTTCACCTCTATGTATTACATTTGATCATTGTTTACCATATATTCTCAATACCTGTTGCTGGTCATTTGTTTTCCCAGGGACCCCTGCAAATATGAATGACTGTCTCTGCACTCTATTCCTTGTGGACAACTTGGATCCTTTCTTCTATGTCTAACCGTCAATTGTTACTAAGTCTACTAATGGTCATTTATATTGTATCTTTCCACTACATCTTATCATTGCAAATTGTAGCTTTATATTTGTAGATCAAAAACAGATGATATATGATGTGATTTGATATGATATGATTTCTAAAGTTTTATCGGACAGAGTTTATGATGGTGAGGATGAAATCTAAGTACATCTAAATACGTCTCTATGCGGATGATACTGTGCTATTCTGTTGCTTATTCTATTCGACTTTTAATTGGGACATTATATCTCTCTTCTTGTAATGCACTAAAAACTATATGTTATCTCCTCCAATATTTGCCTTTAACTTCCTAAAATTTCCTGGCTTTTACACTTACAGGCCATTAAAACTGAGAAGCCCTTAAGCTTCAGGTGTTCACCAAACACCAAACAAAGCCAAAGCCACGGACGAGCTTTACTGGAATTCCACTTGGTGCTTGTAATCCATTTTAAATGGTTCAACAATGGACCAACTTTTACTGACTATTCTATTCTATTTAAGAAGAGTATTTAGTTTTTTGGAAATACAGTAAATAACTCTCTCCGGGGCATCAGAATATGAACATTTTGCATTTACAATGGTCAAGTGCTGTCCACCTTTTCGCCCCAACCACCCCATTCTCAAAACTACAGGTAACCACAGGAAGCACTTCCATTGTTTTTTTCGGCTTCCTGTTTTGGCTATTACTATGGCAACACCCTTAATGAAAGTCTAGACAGGTTGTGATGAGGCAAACCGGGTCACTAAAATTGTTTGCAGAGCCTAAATGGAATAAAAAGGCGCTCTGTGAGCAGCAAAGAGCAATTCACATCATTTTTTAAGGAGTGGTTCTGAGGATGGGAACTGGAACAAAGTGTTTTCCACACTGGACAGCAGACATTACCTAAGCATTCATTCCTTGCTCCCATTTTTACTGACGTCTGTTTTGAATGTTAATGAGCAGAAAGTGAAGCAGACAATGTAAGGAAAATACTACTCAGCTCTGCAAGTCCACTTGCTGAGAGTATTCCAGAAGTCTGCTGCTGCAGCACCCCGTTACATGACTGAAATGTTAATTTGTGATGCAGTAGTCAACAGATCACATAACACCAAAAAAAACATTTTCTGTCATCCCGTAGCTGGCTGAGATGGCTCCTCTTCCTGTTTTGCCTCTAATTTGACAGCCATATAGTGAGTTCGTAGCACTGGCAACAAGGTGGCAAAGCAGAGGTGATTTCTTTCTTTGATCACAGCGGTGGTTTACACTGTTTTTATTGAGTGGTAAAGAGGGGATGTGACGTGTGCTGATGTTCTCAAATGAGGGACAAGTAGTCTGGATGCTTTGATGAATGGAGGCAGGTCTGGGCACCATAAGACACAAAGTGGAGTGTTTTACCCGGGACGTTGTCCAAAGGTTTGTCATGGCTAAACAATCTCTTCAATAACTTTAGTAAGGCTGACTTATTTACCAT